CAAATTTTCCTTCCTTATTTTAGAGATAATTATTTAAAATTAGAGATTATACTTAAGAAGGGGCGAACAAGTGGAACATTTGAATAGTGCGATGTATTATTGAATATATAATGAAAAAGCCAAAAAGGGGAGTAAGTGAAATAAAAATTTATTGCGAATCGAGAATTATATAAAACTGTATCAATCGTTTTTGCCTCATCCTCATCATTTCGTTGAAATTATGGAAGTCTTTTAAGGAAATAACGAATGAGAAAATATTGGCCTGAAAAATTTGGGTGCAAAGATGAAAACGGGAATCACCGGCGATTATTGAACAAATCTAGCTTAGCAGCTTCCATCGCTTCGCTAATGAACAAATCACTTCATAATTTCCATCGAGTTGTAAATAGTCAGTCGAATTGCGATGCACCATCCTTCGCCGTTTATAAGCACTTTCCTTTCTTCTATATTTTACACTGGAAAACTCGATCTGTCGTTAATGCTGCTAGCGTATTTTTATTTTTTGAACTTCTTTTCTCTTACTAAAAACGATTTTCAGTGGAAATAAGTAAAATTGTGGTTTATTGAAAATTTTAGCAATTATTATTGGTGATTAACGACCGTCATTTCGGGTTAGACTCGCTCCATTCACTGCTTATCCGCATAAACGGGAAATGAGAAATCTCGACGATGAAAATATAGATGGATCGCCAGCATTCGGATTTTTACAGGTTCATTGGAGCCTTTAATATGATAACCGAGTCGCTGCCCACTGCGCTGTTTTAAATTAGGTAAAACCTTTAATAAGAAAATAGACTAATTTGCTTTGCGCAAATATTATATTAAAGCAGTTGGAATACTTCGAATTTTAAATTAATATTATTAAATTAAATTACAATTTTATATTATAAATTTAAATTAAATTTTAAATTAAAATTAATGAAGAAATTAAGAACTGGTTAGAATTCAACTTTTGTATTTCTATTTCTCTGCACTAAAAACGAATACATAATTAATTTAATGCATTTATCCGACGGATTGCTATAGGGGAGAAATTTCAAGAAAATATAAATACGTATGAAACAATTGTCAGCAAATGAATACCATCGAAATCCGATATAATCACCGCCATTGGTGAAACTGATGATTGGTCGGTCGCACGATCACTCATTAAGTTGTTTAACTGAATTAATGTGGAGGATAATGAAGCAATGGTTTATGAGAAAAGTTCGAGAGAGCACTTGTGTTTTTGGGTAAACATTTACATTTTCTGGTAAACAATTAATCTCAAACGAAAATATCAAATAAGTGTCGGCGCGTTCTCATCAAATCCCACAGAGAAACCGAATAATTTCCAATATTTTATGATATAAATGAGATTTAATCAATTTTGATATTTTTTGCCACTTTCACCACTTTTGGTTAGAATCGCCCAGCTGGTTTATCAGACCAGAAGATTTCTTCAGTGTGCAGAAGTATAGGTAAGTCGCGAGCATTCATGGTTTAGTCGTGCGCTGAATCCCTGCATTTCCATAGTAATGCTCTATAATAATAACTCGCCAAATTGCATAAATTTACTTATCTAAATTTAAGTCTCTCTTTGGTCAAACCTACAAACAGTTTCTAAGATAAGAAATTCTTACTTGCTAGAGAGTAGCAGTAAATACGCCCATACGATATCGCCTAAATATCTTGCGTATTAGAATTTATTCATTCTTTTTGTCTCGCTGGTTTTGGGAGAGGATGGTTTGCCTCTGAAAAATGGGCGAAAATGAAATTGTCGACGAATGAGGCATTTCGCATATTATTTAGTAGACTTAATTTATTTTAATAAATTTATTTTGAAAATTATGGAATGCATTTAGATTGTTGAGAATTTCGGAGCTTTCCGGCGAAATTCTATTTTCTCATTATTTAAACTTGGCTTGTTGAGCTGTCGTCGCTTCAATTCGCTTATTATCATTATTATCAGATGCAACATCAATAATTATTCGAAATTATTTGCATTCACTCAGTTTTCATATTTTCATTTCCATATTGTTTTATGTTTTGCTTCATTTTAATTTTTCACTTATTTATTCCCTTTTCCCCGACATTAATGAATATTTTTTGAGAATTTCATTTAAGTTTTTTTCTATTTAAATTTTGGAGGTTGTCCTTCCGCACTCTGTCCGAGTCGTCAGCAGTGCTATGTGAGCTATTAATATTCGATCCGCCGTATAGTCGGCCAGAGTCAGTCGACCGATAAATATTGCTCGCAATAATGCTCGTTGCGCAATTCGTAGAGTTTTTGAGAAAAGGACACCCAAAAATGAATGACGCTTTTTTCAGTCTGTAAGCAATCTTCTGTTTTCTGTAATTTTCAAGTAATGCGTTAAGCGTAGAAATAAATGGTCAACCATTTCTGCTATTAGACTGTCTGTGCGGTTAGAAATTTCGCCAGAGTGTAATTTCGAGATAGAAATAATCACGAGCATCACATTTGCATTTTACACAGAATAGCCTAAAAGATTTCGTTTAGCGGTGCCTATGAACATTGTAACAAGTATTTTAGCCTTGTGGAAGTTATCTAATTTGTGGCCAACTACCAACTAATGGTGCCTTACTGATTCAATGAGAATATCATTTGTTTTGTCAGCTTTCCAGAAGTACTTTCTATTATTAGTTATCCTTTTGCGGTGAACAGTGGGCAGTTGAAGAGAAAATCTATTTCCGTAAAAAAAATAAAAAAACTTTTCTATTTGATTCTCCGTAATTTCTCTTATTCGGTTAAAAATTTATACGAAAATATAAATAAAAATTGTTTCAAAAATATTATTTATGCATTAAAATTGACTTAAAAATCTCAATTTAAAAGATTTTTTTACAGTTAATTTCTCGCTTAGAACATCACAAATACCTCAATTCGCCACTTATTTTCCTTAAATAAATTCAAAGTAGAGTGTTTAAAATGATATCTTTTGATATTAAATTTCTTTCTAAGTTCTCCATTTTCTAGATTAATTTTAGAAAAAAGCCTTAGCCATTAATTAATTAAAACGATCTTCAGCGGATTAAGATAGTTGCTTCATTATTCCATCGATGACTTACTTATAGATTAATTGACTAATTTATCCAAATTTGTTGTTAAATGATGGATACTCTGTTTATATTTTACGAACAAAAAATAATTTTTATTCAAAGAATCACATTTCCATTTCATAACGAAATCTTATCAATGATTCTGCAGATGTCAATTCATTGAAATTTATTGAAAGTCAATAAGTAAATTGCACATTTAAAAAAATAAGAAATTGTGAAGTTCGAGTAAATAGCCTGCGAGCCACTTCCTTACGAAAGGAAAGCTAGTAGTAAATAAAGCCAACCAAACCGGAAATATTGCATGAATCTAGAAAAGTTAAAAGAAATGAAATATGCCAATATAATATATTCATCGTGAGCAACTGTAGGAGTAAACCTTTTTTTTCACTTCATTGCTACTGCAAAAGTAGATATTTTGGATGAATGATTTTCGCTTATTTATTCTGAATATTTGTCCTTTATTATCAATTGATTCATATAAAATTCCAGCTGATGCAATTTTTGCAATTTTAAATTTATTCATGTTTTTACTAAAGTGTTTTCTCCATCTTTATGCATTTGGTCGATTTGATTAGTGCAGAACATAAGTTCGATTCCATGTTCTGGCAAGACTATTATTAAAAATTCCGTGTGATCCATGTTTACTTCTATCGCCAACTGACTTCTTGACAAAACTTTCTCATTATTTCTCATTGACAGCCAGCGAAAGTTAGCCTAACCACAATTGGTGCTTATTTCTTTACTTCTTTTAACTTTTCCTCTTTTATCGTATTTTAAGATTTTTTTGTAAATTTCGAAAAATATTTCTTGAAAATATTTCAAATTATTCGTTATAATTGCGTCATAGTTTTTTAATGAAAATTGTCGATTAATCAAATTTGAAAAAAATTTTTTACTGTAATTGATTTCAAATTCAAAATTAATTGTTGTCGAAAAATTCATATATTTTCTAATAGTTTGCGAACTATTAAAATTAAAAATAATCATTTAAAATATAGTGCCGTCTTGCAAAAATATTGCTTTTCAAATCGCGTGCAGCTGATTTCGACTTCAAAGCAAGAGCAGCGAGAAGGTAGGGTAGCCGAGTGGTCGTTTTTCGCATTATTGTCATTTTGATCGTTAAACTGGCCGAACTGGCAGATGCCTTACTTCCATCGCTCGTAAAAATTCTTTAACAACCATTTAAGTGAGTCTAATGGTGAAAGCTAACCGCATACTTATTGTCATGTAATATTTTTAATTTCTTTTATTTTTTTATCCTTTTTTTTCTCGCAAAGAACTTCTAATTGCTATTTAATTTCAAATTCTCTCCCATTAATTTGATTTTTTGTGTGGAGGCTTCGTAGAATTGAATATTAAATTATTTCAGTTTCATATATCTTCGTTTTTCTCACTTTTTCTCCCTTACAACCGTGATTTAGTATTTTATTTTTTGTTTGTTTGCGCATTTCTCATTGTTTATCGTTATTCTAACCATTATTATTGCTATCGGTTGTATTAAAGAAAATTATTCGGATCAGAATGGTGGTCCGATATGAAATAAATACTGCTAACATAATTATAATAATGACCTTGTCCAATTATTATAGTTATTATTATTAACACAAGCGCGTTGTTATCAGCGCGTTGTCTTGATCTTAAATAAATCAGATAAATCTAGATAAATAGATAAATAAATCAGCTGATAGGCAGAATAGACGGACTTAGTGACTTAGTGATAGTGATTGCTCATATAATTGCCACGAGCGTCAGGAGTCGAACATTACCTCCGGCAAGAAACTCACATTAAAATTCAGGAGTGCTGGTGGCTCACCTGCATCGCCCATTGCCAAGCGACTCATTGACGCAGATCTTTAGACTTAGTACTAGATTTTTTTTGCATTTCTTCTTGAGTCTTATGAATCCCTTGAATCCCTTCGAGTGCGAAATAATATTTAATAATGTATTCTTTGATTTTTGCCGATAATGGATTGTTTTATTTTAACTCTCCTCAATTAGCCATCAATGTTGTTAATGTTGATGTAATAGCATCATTGAAATATGCGAAATTCTCATTGATCCTTAGTAATTAATGCTTTCAAGAGACAGTCTTTTGCCATTTAAGACCTTCGTATTACTACAACAGCTGATCGCTAATCCTTTTCATAAGCGTTTCCTTTACGAATTTTTTATTTTAAAAAAATCAGGATGTCATATGTTAATGAATATGCTGGTGGCTCACCTGCATATATTATATATTCTCATCTTTCATATATTCTCATCAAATAATTACTTTTTGGTAATTCATCTTTTTGTGGGTAAAAAGTAAAAAAACTTCATTTAAACCAAAATTGCAGTGAAGTGGACACTCTTGGATTTGAACGACCAGATGATTTGAATATATTTTCATATCAAAATTTTTGGCAAAAATATTTGCCGATTTTGACACGTCGAAAACGAAGATGGCAACAAGTGGTTTCACCGAGAGGAGATCTATGTTAGTGAAGAATAAAACTAACAATGGCCCATTAAATATCACCCATAACTTTTCGTTGTCGTCACGGTCCCATTAAAAACAATTGTAAGATGTAAGCGGTTAAGTCGTTGTATGGAAATGAAGTACTTCCTTTTTTTCGAATTACTTCTTTAATGTTTTCATCAAATTCACCAAAATTTTTTATGAAAAATCGTTTCTGTTTATCAAACTCGAAAAATTATAGAATTAGGAAAAGATTGGAAGTAATATAATAGGGATTTTATAATAAAAGCTTGACATTGACAACTCATATCTAAATTTTACACTTGAAATAGCAAATAAATAAATAAATATATATATACATATTTCATCCTTATCATTTTAATATAAATGCGTTATACATGACGAAATATTCCTAAAAATATAGCTAGTTAAATAGATTTGAAAGGAACGATTAAGTAACGGGAAAAAGAAATTGGTTGACCCGCACCATTTCCTCCGGTTGACTCTATCATTACGAAATTTCCACCAGGGAACACGTGCCGGTTGAAATAAATAGAGATGTCAGCAGGCCTCGAATTTTTTTAAGACTGCTTTGCTCCTGTCAGGAGAGATCAGATCCTAATGCTCTCGCCCTGAGCAATATTCATTCGGCTACTCTTATTTTATCTTTTTTTTACTGCAAAACTGCAAGTTAATTCGATTGCAGTTCGAAGTAAAGACCATTTTGAAAATCGCTAATTTACTAATAAATTTTCTCATAATTTTTCACTCATCAAGTGGAAATAGTTTTGATTGCATTAATTTTTCTTTTATTTTGATGATCGCCGCAGTTATCGGAATCGAAAGGAACGTATTTATTAATTAATTATTTTCTATGAACATTTGAGCTTAATTTAACACAAATGTTTCGTTGAAATTTCATACAAATATAGGATGCACCTCTTCATATAAAATTCAAAATACGAGCTTCACCACTCCGGTTTTTTTAATGGCGTCTCCTGTGGGTTTATTCCTGTGGGCGACTGTTGTTTTGCCATAAAGTTTATCTCTCTCACCCTCGATAAGGTAGAATAATGGTAGTGGATAAATACATAGATAAATGACTCGGCTTCGGATTTCAAATTTCACTGTTATTAATTAACTGAAGTTGATTGTATTTATTTTATTATTATAAAAGATTATTTAATGATTTAAGAAAACATTTTGTTGGCGTTAATTTATAATCATATTGAACAATAAATTATGTTGGATGGCGTTGTACTAAAAATTCATCGAATAAACAAATAAACAAACAAATGCGTAACTTTGTAAACTAATTGATCATTTATTATTTATTGATCATTTGAAAAATTAGTGAAAACAGTATAACTTTAATAAAAACAGGAAAAATTTCGAGAGAATAGATAATTGATGCATTACAAATGCGTTACAAATTGGGCCTAAAGGCATTAAAGGCCTAGTGAAGGAGGAAAACAAATTCTTAACGTCTTAATTCCCTAAAGTGAGGTGCTTGCGCAATTTTACTTCGTTTAATTTTTATTTATAAATTAATAAATTTATTCCGCAATATTTAAGACAAATTTAAATTGAATAATAAAAGAAATCATTTGTAGACGATGATTTTGCTCAGGAAAAAAGTACTCTTTAAGGATTCCAAGGATTTTTTACAAATTTTTTTAAAAATAAGGCTAAATTCAGTGCATAAAATTTTGAAATAATTTTTATAAAATAATTACAGTGACAAGATTCATTCGAAAAGGAATACCGGCAACGTTGCGCCCAAAGGTTTGATTATAAAAATTGTGTGTGCTCTTTAAAGGTTTGATCGTCACATAATTGAATATATCGTATTGGCAATCAGTATGTAACGGTTAATATTCTGTAAGAAACATATAGAAGTGAATGTAAAGGTTACTGCAGATAAAAGCCAACCCAGTGATTCTTTACTTTAGTGAGAGAAATTTCAGATATGGATGCAGAATTGTTCACGCGTTACAATCGGCAAAAGTAATGTCGATCCAAATGTTATTCAGGCAATTTCTCTCGATTTACCACGTACATATCCAAATAATCGAATTCTTGCATCGGAAGAAGGCCAAAAGATTTTAGCGCATATTTTATACAGATTGGCTGAAACATTTCCTGATATCGGTTACTGTCAGGTGAAGCTTTTAGGCAACAATTTTTTTCACATTAATCCTATTTAAGGAAAAATTTCGTATTTTTATTTTGCTTTCTATTGCAATTGATAAAAAAAAGATTAAAATTTTAAAAATTTTAAGATCTTAAAATTTTAAAACCTGTCATTTTCCATTGTTCAATCTTCTAATAATACCTTTTCTGATTTGGATTACTATAAAAGACCGTCTTTTTTTGAGCGCCGGAAGTTCGAAATAGGAATTCAGATGGCTATCACCTGGATTGAATTTTGTTAACCGATGTGCTCTAAAGCAGTCAGTTTGTCACTTTACCGTTCTATCCCTTATCCCTGTTTTCTACGATTCTTTACGATTCGTTACGATACGATATTTTACGATTCTTTTTTCATATATACGGGCATCGAACCTTTGTGCCATTTCATTATTTATTTCTATCAAAATTTTGTGTTATTTTAATGCTGTGAGCAAGATTTAAGTGTGATTTTATTCTTTATTCGAAAAATTAGAATAAAGTCAGAGGGTGAATTCTACTGAGTAATAATATTAGTACTGAATTATAGGAAGAAAAATAACAAGATTATTACATAAATCTACTCATCCGTAACTTTACCCATGAAGACAAGAAAATAAAACAACTTTTAACATTGAAATATTCTTTTCTTCTCGCAGCCCGCATCGTTATTGGCTAGGACTGCTGCATGTGTTACGGCTATAAACAAGTGAAAGACGTTTCCTATCCCAATATGTAATACAATAGGAAAACGGAGGAGAAATAAATATAGTTAACAACTGAGGCGTATTTAATTACAGTCCTACGAGAGTGTACAAGGATTTGATTGAGGACGATCAACAGATTTGCCGACAAAGACAACTCGACACTTGTAAGACAATATAAATGGCCATATCTATGATGCCTCTTTATGATATCTTCAGCACATATTATTTCATTCTTTACTGCTTGCTTTCGCCCTCAAGGGAGATTATATTTTCCGTTTAATTATTTCAAAGCCAACTAGAAGAATTGATTTTTAAAATGTAAATTGTAAATAAATATACAAAAGCTTAAGGAAACTTATTAATTTATATTAATAATTATTCCTTAAGCGCTGTGCCTTTCCTTTATTGATAAAAACCGAAATTCCGTATTCCTATCCAAATCAAATGTGAGAATCAGTTGGGGATAGAAGTACGGATCAGGAATCAGTAAACCAGTATTACTCCATTTTTAACAAATTTACTCCTGTCAAAAGATATGAATCGAAAAAAAATTTAAAACTCTGACCTCTGTCTTCCTCATAAAATAGTATTGAATGGAAGAGTTCAAATTTAATAATCTTTCACCCATTATTGATTAGATCTAGCGATTTGATAAAATTTCAACAGATATAAAAAACAGACAGATACAGATACAGATATAAAAAAAACCATAAATAAATGAAATATGATATGATGATAAAATTTCGACTATTGGTGGGAAATTTCGCCTTTTTGGTTCCCCTTTCGTCTGCGATGCAGTTACTAAATTATCCACAGTTCGGCACCAAGTGATTAGTTCATCATTTAGGATAGCTGAACTGGTTAAGAATTTTTGCTGAGGAATCTTCAATAGAAGTACAGCTGGAATCGCAAGTGAAACCAACTGAAACGTTCGACATCAAGTAGAACAGTAGTACAACATTCATTGCTGCAGTAGCAGTTTATATCTTGTCTTGAAATTTAATAAATGTCTTTCTTCAAAGTGGATGTGCTGTTTAGAGTGTTCATTAACTCATTTTAGTCAAATTTCTGCATAGTTTTAAATGTTGGAGTATAATCTTCACTTATCTAATTTGTATACACTGTTTAAGCCAATACGTCTTTCTAGTTTTAATTTAAGAATTTTATTGGGAGATTCAATTTTCGTTTTTTTATAATTCATTTCTCGTTGTTTTTAATTTAGCTAGCTTCGCTTATTTGGACGTTTTTCATCAGATAATCAGTAAAGGGTTTGTTTTCTATAGGTTTATGTCAAGGAACATAGATTAGACCACGGTGCTTGAAATTGCACAATAGTTTAAGCAATAAATCGCTCAGTACTCAATGCTATTTACCAATCCTATCAATTAGGAATATTATGAAAATCTAACCAACGATTTATTATAGTCTATTTGGTTTTTTTTAATTTGGTACTCAAGGATAGTATCTTCGGTAGCATCGATGGCAGTCATCCGAAAAGTCATCGACAATATTTTGACAATTAAGTGAATCAATAAGTGTAATGGATATAATAATGGATGTGGATCAGAGAAAATCGAATAATAGCGATAATAATATTTTATATTTTTCATTAAAAAAACAACAATCTAGAAAAGAACGATACGAATTTGATGTAAAATTTTCGATAAAAGAATAAAAATTGGCTAATATAGATAACGATCGTTGAGCTTAACGTTAAGCACTATCTATTAATAATTCTAATTGATTCTAATTGGCTAGAAAAATTGTAAATCTTATCTATGAAACAAAAGATTTTCATGTGAATTTTTCAATTTTCACGATGTTTTAACAATTTCTTAGGTAATACACGAAATATAATGATTTTTATTGATAATCTATCTAAAGAGGAATAACTAAAGAACTAAAGAAAAGAGGAAGAGGAACAGGAATAGGAAAAGGAGTAGTTCCTTTAGGCCTAAGTTTCTCGCTACTAGTGCAAATGCGTTCAGATGGATTTTCATCTTTTTCGAACAGCTCGCAGCATTACTGGTTGAATATGCATGCGCTGGTTAAGATTGATTTTTCTAGGCTGTTTTCATCTGGTTTTGATGTGAAGGCTTGAAAAAATATCAATATCTTTCAATATCAATATCAAATATCAATATACAAATATCTTTTGTGGTGAATTGACTCTTCAGTTAATGTTTAAATGCCTTGTGACTAACTAAATTACCAGAGCAGTGAATTATTTTTAATGAAGATTACTACGTAATAAACTGCATCAGTTATTCGTAACATAAGGTGCACCTATTGTTCGTTCAACATTTATCCTCTTATTTCATTCGATGAATGGATACAAGAAAGAATTTCAAAATAATAAATATACGATAGCTGCTAAACTAAACGCTGTAGATACACATTAAAACTATTTTTAAAGGGCTTCAATTATATCGCCGCTTTATTATATTTGGTGGTGAAAAATGAAAATGCGGCCACATGTCTTTTGATTCATTTGGTTGATCAACGACGAAACTATTACACATTAAATATGAATGGAATCCTGATTGATATCAAAGTTTTAAGAGATATTATTCGGTTAGAAAATTTTTCGTTCTTCAAAATCTTAATCATTTCTAATCTTTAAAAAATTTAACTTTAAAACTTTAAAAAATCTTTCATCCAACACTCCATGAACAAACGACCACTTTTTATTCGAATATATACTTATCTCAAATATATCCTAAATATTACCATCTTATGCGCAGCTTACATCTTAAAAATATATCATTTTCTGCTTAAGAATGAGCATTTGACGTTGTAATACTTGTAATAATTCGAAGCGATTCTCCGCTTCAAGAACGCTATTGACTAATTTTTGCTTTTCAATTTCTGGAAGCAATTTTTTGATTTTAGTTGCTTTCATTAATTTTATTTGATTATAATGGAAGAAAAACCATTAATGAAAGCAGATCACGATTGCATAAGAAATTGCACAAGGTGCAGAGGTCAATACAGCATATACAATCAAGGTAATAGCGCTAAGTCTCGTGGAAAAAATATGAAGAATATTTTAAGAACAAAAATTTCTTTCTGCGTGAGAATAATTTGAAAAATATGGAGAAGGTAATTGTAGTTGAAGTAGGCTGTCCAACCCCGCAGGATGCTTTGCAGTTTTATCTATTCATTATTTTGTGATTGTGAACATTTTCGAGGGATGTTTTTCAATAAAATGTTACATTATTTTATCATAAACTTGATATTTTTACAACTGCATTGCTTTACATAAAAAGAATGAGTCACAACGATATAGGTTCGGTCAAAGAGTATTGGCCGAACCATTGTTCTTGCTAAGTCTGGTCAAGGAATAACGGCAACACAATAATGCGTTAATATAGTACGACATAATTATAAACAATAGCAATGCTCAACCAGTACTTTACGCAATAAAGAACCATTTTTCGTTTTGTCGGTTATGTCTGCAATCGTATCATTTTTAAATAAAATAAATAAAAATTTGCTGTTTGAAATAATTAATTTCTTATTTGTATACGACTCACTTAACTGTTAATTGTTCTACTTCCTATTGCTTAAATTTGGTATTTTAAAGCAAAAATTGTGCCAATTGTTTAAAGAATTGTGAGATTCTGACAAATAAAGAAAGCATTGTTAATAAAATATATTGTCTCTATACTCACTCAACATCCTCCTAATAAGTAGTAGTATTGTAGTATTCCTTAATGATTTCATTAAGCCTCTTAGTGAATTTATGGCGCAATCGCTATTCATCGGCGACTTTTTATGCGTAAACCAAATAAATTGGTTTTGAACAAAAAAGGAAAATTTTCTTATCACTGCAGACTCATATCATATATATAAGAAAATTTAAAAGATAAATATTATTATTATGTATTATTTTTATTTTATATTACCTAGTTTTATCTAATTTTCATCAAAAATATTTAAAAAATACAATATCAGAATATCAGAATAAAATACAATGTCAGAAAAAAAAATCAAAAGTATAAAAATATAAAAAACACAAAAAGCAAATTATAGTGACTTTAAAATAAATATAACAATAATTATATGTAACTATTAGTTCGAAAATAAATTGGTCGGAGAAAGAAATTGTTTAGAGGTATAAAAAACCTTGAATTTCAATTATAAACTAATTTGGATTTTTTGGCTAATTTCAGCAAAGCATTTTGTTCGGAATCAACAAAACAAATTCATTCCCGTCTTATCATTTCTAATATTTAGAATTTCCAATTAGCTAATTAGAAAACGAAATATATAAAAAGACAAACAAAAAAAAATTATGAAAGATGTATATAAAATGTTTCATGGATATCCAACTTTATTTGTTGTGAATTTCCCCTGCTGATTTCTTGAAAAAACATAGTTCATTCGTTGGATTTTGCCATATCCCGCATCGCTTTTAT